CCACTCACGCGTGAAAACCAAAAAAAAGTGGTGGCCGTTACCCTGTGTATAATATCATAGATCAGCCTTGTACCTGCTGCTGCTCACATTGAAATGTTCACACGCACGTGCGGCTCGTATGTTGAAACAGGGCTCGCTATGCCGTGTCGGCCAGGTGATCTATGGCTAACATGCTTGCCTCTAATGCCCGCGGGTGCTCAGCTGTCAGCGGCTCGGAGTTCGAACCTATATCAGACTTTTTAACGAATTTTTGCGTGTTTCTTTTGGGGTTTTTTTTTTACTTCTTATTTAGATCTTTTCCTGCCTTTCCCCCGTGGTCCCCAACACTTAACCCTATCCGTACGCCCCTGGGGTCATTTTGTACCCCCGGGGTTGTATTCTTCACGTTTTAGAATACTTCTGGTACGAAAACCTCTTTCAGTATTTCTCAAAAAAACATTTTGACATACTGCTATGCAAAGCGTACAGATCGGATTAACGAGTAAATGTCCTCTTTGGAAAGTGGTGGCACAGAGTTCCCCATTTCGTATGGATACGATAGTAAAACACGACGTACGGATAGGGTTAACGACCGTTATCGTGTAGATACGTTTCTCTTTACTCAAGCGTGAACCACACTGATTGTTTGGATGTTCTTATTTACTTGCAGTTCAAAAAAAATAATTGGGATGTGAGTTGTTGGCGGGCTCTCTGGTATGGTCTGCTCCTTTTCTATCAAATATCTATGTATCGTCTTTATCTCTCCTCCTTTTTTGTGTGTATGTTACTTTCTTGTAAGTGGGTGGTTGGTGGGTGCTCTGGTGTGGTTTGGTCCTTCTTTCCTATCAAACGTCTATCGTCTTTATCTCCCCTTCTTCTTTGTTATATTTGTTACTCTCTTGTAACACCTCCAATCTTCTGGCGCTCATATGACCTAAGGCTCTGGCCACACTGCAAGCAGAGCGGGCACAGCAGAGCGCAGCAGTGAAAATTATTACAAAGACAAAGAGGCGACTAGCTGCGCGA